CCCAGTGAGGAGCATTGCCCCAGGCCTGCAGCCCCAGCTCAGAGCTGCTCTCCCCTCTGCCCTCCCTGGGCAGCTCCCATTTGAAGCAAACCTGATCCCATCGGTTCCCTTGGGTTTAACCAGCCTGGTTAGCCCTGGTGCTGCTCTGAGCAGAGTGCTGTGATCTGTGCCAGGTCTCTGCTGTGCCTGCTCCCTGTGTGATCTATGGCACAGCCCCAGCCAGCCAGCGGCACATTAAATACAGACTGAGCAGGAGTGCTACACGAAATTGATAAAATAAGTCTGCATTTATAAATTATACATACATTTCCCAAATTGTCATATCTCCCAATCTTCTCTCTGCTGTTTGCCAGATTTTCTCCCACCAGTCACTGTCACATCACAGCTTCTCCTTTCTTTTTTATGTCCTGATTAACAGGACATCTATATTCTCCCTTGAGCTCTCTTCCTCCCAGCAAGATTATTTTCCATATCCCTGCAGAGGGGCCAAGAAAGCATTTGTGAGCCTAAGATGCTTCTTTTTCAAGATATACTATGTGATCTAATAAAAGATAATACTTTTTCTTATAAATGTAGCTCCATGAGCACAATTCAAATGCTTCAATATAGGTTCAGAAAAAAAAAAATCTATATGAACACAATTTATTCTTAGATTGCTTTAAAAAAAATAAAATTCAACCTTTTCCCCTAAAGGTTAGGGGATTCTATTAATCATTTGGGGGGAATGGTTTGACTCTTCAAATATTGATAAAGGCCTTTTTCAGCAGTAAAAACAGCCAAACATGGAATGATCAGATCCTCCTGGTAGCACTGATCCTTTAGTGATGTTCAGGACACTTTTGAAAGCCACTGTGTTCAATGCAACACTTACTCCTCCTGCTCTATTTTCCAACTTTCCCATCAGAGTAACGAATGTAGAACAGACACAAAGTCAAACAGCATTCACAGGGGCTTTGGGTGAGTTTTTCCCCAAACTTTTGCCAAGCTGTGGAACTCTAATTTCCTTAGCTGGCTCTCAATACCAGAGATGCTCCAGGGGCTGCAGTGGGGCTCAGCAAAGAGCAGGGCTCTGGGATACTCTGGGCTGATTTGCCAAAATGGAAACAGCAAATACATCATTTCTGCCAAGGAACAAGTACCACCGTGTACCACATTCCTTCAGGAGAGCAATGGATGGAAAATGCTCCATTAGCACTGGATTCCCTTCAGTGCTTGAGCAGAGCCAAGGCACCTGTAACCACACTTCTCACACCCTGTGCCCAGCTCCACACTTTATCCACAATCCAGGGAAGGTCCCCACAGGTCTATTTTGGTTTTCCTCTGCAGTGACTTCTCCCGTGCATTTCCACCTTTGTTTTCCCAAATGTGCATTTTTGTGGTGTGGGTATTGCACACACGAGACACTCACAGCAGCGATACAAACATCACTTTGCATGATGGGCTGATAGGAAAAACCCTCTTGAAAAAAGAACTCTTTTGAGTTTTACTCTTTAATTGCAGAGTTTTACTGCTTTTGACTTTTTTTTTTATAATGGGCCTTGGTTACACAAGTCAAGCTTTTAGCCCTAAACTGAGGAGAAGTGCTCACAATACATCAAACAGTGTGCAGGAAATAGCAAAATAATCTGACTGGTTTAGGCATGTCTCACTGGTAGAGTTTGAAGAGCTCAGTGGTTCAAGGAAAATGGTTTCTTCTGCTTGTCTGAAAGCAAAATGGATTTGCAGGTAAAAGGCAGCATCTGTGCGTGGACTGCACAAATACACATCCAGGCTCACCCTGGAGTTCAGCTCGCTTTTTCCAGCGTGAAATAACACACAGAACACAAAGAGAAGGCAGAGTCCTTGGCTGCTGCAAGGTGCATTTCTCAGGTGCCTTCCCTGCACTGCCAGGAGGGGAATGTGTCCCCTCAAACGCCAGGTTTGTGAGGCAGACACTGAGCCTGTCCCTGCCAGCAGGGCTAAATCCTCTGCTTCAGAGCTCTAATGCTTCCATTACTGAACTTATTGTGCATAAGAGACCTAACAGCCCAACCCCTGAATGTCACATTTTATTCCAGAATGTTCCTTTCTAGCTGGACTAAAAGCACAGCAGTTCTGCAGCAAGGGGTGGTAAAAGTCATTCTGTGTTCCACTTGTAACAGGAATATTCTGTTGGAGTTAATAATAACTATGAGTTGATTACAATTTCACGTGTCCATGCTGAAATTAAATCAGTACTGCATGGTTTGACCTTGAAAAATAATTGGGTTTAGTGTCTAGAAGACAAAAAACTCCGTGGCAAAAAAACTCCCATAATTTCTGAAAAAGAAAAGGATGAGAGTGCCAAGAGTATCTTAAATATGCTGTGCTTTTGTAAGAAAATGCATACCTGATGTTAGCAAATAGCACATTTATCACCTGACTGCCTGGGAAAACTGCTGTTCCTTGAACTCCTTAGACTCTATACATTTTAAAGAGAAAGGCTGTAATTCTGTAAGAGTTTGGAGAATGTGTTTAACCATTAAAGATCATTTTTTGGTACCTGTGAAAGATGAGTTTCCAACTTGTTTAAGACTTGAGACATCCAGTGATTCTCAGCCATTAGGTGCTGCTCCTCTGAAAGCTCTTCACCTCAGCGTGGCTTTTGGATTTATGAATCTCAGCAAAGCAGAGCTCACCATTCCCATGGTTCATCTGCTCCCCTGCATTACTCTCGTGCTAAATCAATCCTCAGATCCATAAACCAGGTCTGTAAATATTAATGCAGGCCAAAGCAGCCTCAGCTCAGGCAGCTTTCACTGCAGAAGGAAACTGGGGAGGCTGCAGCTCCTTCTGAGTCCTTTCCTGCAAATTCAACTCCTGGGCAAGACAAGAGAAGAATATTCTGGTGAGAAAAAATGTAAAATAATACAGGAAAAGAAAGGAGTTCACAAGGCAATTGGAGAACAAAAAAGGGGAAGGTTGAAAGGAAAAGGACAATGAGCTGAGGGGATAGGAAAGGGAAGAACAGAGCCAAAGAAAAGAGAAGAAAGCACAGAGCAGTGACAGAAAAGAGAGTGAGTAACAAAGTGGTGGGAAGGAGAACAAACACTAATGGGATTATATTTCCTTCTCTTCAGTGTCTGGAAAAGCACCAGTGTAAAGCAGCCACTTCAGTGAATGAATGAGTTTATAAATTGGGTAGGATATCAGGAGAGGGCAGGGGCACACAAACCCAGACTGCCCAAGAGCAAGGGGGTGCCTGGGGCTGCCTCCCAATCCCATCACACTGAGACAGCAGCAGAAATTGCCCTGCATTTCTCCTTTAAAAATATTACTGCCAATCTCTCAGTTTCAATCTTTGACGTGTATCATCCCCCAAAGTGATGATGACTGGCATCAGGTTTCTCTGCTTGCTTATGCACTGATTTCTATTGATTCCTTGGGTTTTTTTCTTGGTTCTTTAATTTCCAAATTTCTTTTTATTTTCCTTAATCTTTCTTCAGGTTGTCAAGTCTCACAGATGATTTTTGTAAGCAAATTCTCTGACCTGGGTAGACTTTCTTCTGCTTTCATGATTTTTTTGCATTTTTTCCAGGAACAGAAGGAAAGATTAAAGGGACATTGAGCACAGGCAGCAGAACTGGACACTTGTCTTTGCAGTGATTTTTTTTTTTTTTAATTGGCAATCAAGAGGAATTAAAACAAGAGTTGAAAACAAGAACTCCTGCCAAGACAGAGAGAGCAAGAGGCTGCATTCCTGCTCCCAGTTTCTGACATGATATGTTCAAATCCCTTTTGGTTACAGTACGTCAGCTCGTGTTTCACCAAACCATGAGACATAATGCAGCCTGACACACCAATTGTTTTTTGACAGAAATGTAAAGGAAAAGAGACTCTCTGCTCTGCTGGTAAAGAAATAATTTTCTTTAAAAGTAGAGGAACAGCCAGATTTCTCCTAAACATTAATGCATCAGAGTGGGGTGGCCTTGAGAGCTCTGCAGCTCTGGGGGTGCCCTGGGCCAGGCTGAGCCCCCCTTGCTGCTCTGCACTGGGCACTGCCTCGTTTGGCTGCAGCCTGATTGCAGCCCAGCTGTGCCACATCTGGGGCTGTGCCACATCTGGGGCTGTCCCTGAGCATCATCCTGCTGATCCCCAGCACATCTGGGGCTGTGCCTGGCCCTGGTGATCCCCACTTTCACAGACATCCTTTATGGAAAATCCTTTCCTTTGGATTTTTCCTCCTGAGAAGCTGGGAGGCCTCAGGAACAAAATGCAAACAATGGTTATCTGCTGCTGTGGGATGCAACAGGTGCATCTGGGATTGGGCTCATGTGGTTGTTTCTAATTAATGGCCAATCACAGTCAGCTGGCTCAGACACAGAGCCCGAGCCACAAACCTTTGTTACCATTATATTCCTTTTCTATTCTTAGCCAGCCTTCTGAGATGAAACCTTTTCTTCTATTCTTTTAGTATAGTTTGAATATAATATATATCACAAAATAATAAATCAAGCCTTCTGACACAGGGAGTCAGCTCCTCGTCTCTCCCCACACCCTCAGACCCCTGTGAATCCATCACCAGGAGGGTCCCCCTGCTGAGCCCACCCAGCCCCTCTCTCTCAGCCCCAGCACCAAATGGAAACGGTCCCTGGCCCCAGGAGCAGCCCTGCTCCATCCCTGCTGGTGCCTCCCAGCCCTGGTGGATTTTAATTGTAAACCTTTTAATGTCAAAGCACATTTGTAGGGCCCTGGGTGAGTGGATGACCTTTAATTTTAGACATGTATTATGTGTTCAGAGTGATTAAAGGAGGAATCAAGTTCAGCTTTTAACAGCTGGAAATTTCATGCAATCAGTTTGAGTATTATAATTTTGGAGCTTTTCAGCAGCAGCATCTCCAGACATCTAGAGCTTTTTGTTTTGTTTTTCCCTTTTATGAACCATTCAGTTTTCAGCAGACCTACCTGACCCCAGGAGCTGCATCTGCCATCCTGGGGGCACAGACTGGGGCTGAAGAAATGGACAATGCAGAAACTGGAAGTTGTCCTCACCTCCCATCCAATCCATGCCCGATTTCCAGACACTCCCCCAAGAGAAGTGGATGAGGTCTCATAAAGGATTTTTTGGTCCCACAAAAAGTCACAAAGGAAACAAATGCTTTTTTTGTTCTTTTTTTTTCAATATTCCAATTAATGTTTTTGGGCACACAGCTCCTGCATTTTATTGCAGTCAGTGATATTTCCAGCCCTTTTCCTGCAGCACAGGTTCATTTGGTTACTGGGATGGTGGGAGATACAGGAAAAGAACTGCAAGCAATATTTCTGTTGTTCTCCTGCCTGAACAGGAGTGAGAGAATGGGAGCAGGGGGGCAATAATCCTCTGTGTGGTTCCTGAGCCCTTCCTGTCCTCTCTGCTCAGGCACAGAACTGCTAAGGAATTCTGATAAAGAAAAATAGGTTTTGTCTTAAGTGACTCTTGAAATTCTTTCAGCTTGGGAATTGTAGCAGAGCTATTAAAGACCAGTTTTATTGACGTGACACGTTCCCGAGGATGGGCCATTAATCATTTTGTGTTATTGTATACTTAACATCTGAAATTCAAGCAAAATCCTAATGATCCAACTATCGAGGGGGAAAAATGGAACTGAATCCACCTAAAGTGCTGCTTGTGCCGTGACTGAGCAGCACATTCAGAGCAAAACCTATCAGCTGGACTCCTGCTGGTAGTGCGAGTTTTATTCCTTAAAGTATTGCTCAGAAAAAGGGAAGGAGGTGAGCAATGTCACTGCTGTCCCCTCCCTGCTCAGGAGAACTGCCTGGATACAGGATCCTGCTGTGCCCTCGTCTCTGGGGCTTTCTTTAAAGCATATGCATAAACATATCTTTAATCACAACCCTGGGCATCTGTTGCAGCCCCGAGCAACACTGATTATTGTGGTTCTGGACCAAAATAACTTAATGAGGTAGAGGCTACAGGTTTTGCTCCTGTTTTCCAAATAATAACTTGTCCTTATTTACATGTCACTTAAAGAGGATTAATTTTGACTTTACAACGTATGGTGATTTCAAACCTCTAGAAAAGCAATCTATTAATGTGTGACTGCCTTAATTAGGATCTGTGACTTTCATTGCCCCTGGCTGGTCCCCTAAAAGCATTCTTTTGGCAAAACAAACAAATCAATATTATTTTAAAGAGCAGGAGGGGAGGAAAGCAATAGTGTTGATGTGAAAGGGAGGCTCAGAGATGAGGAGATCACCGGTCCAGGGCAGGGATGAGCACAGCTGCAGAGCACAACCAGCAGAGTGACAACGAGGAAATGGCTGATGAGCATTAATGGCCTTGAGGTAAAGGAAGGTGGACTGAGGTTTGATATTGGGAATTGGGAATTGTTCCCTGGCAGGGTGGGCAGCCCTGGCACAGGTGCCCAGAGCAGCTGGGGCTGCCCCTGCATCCCTGGCAGTGCCCAAGGCCAGGCTGGACACTGGGGATTGGGGTTTGGAGCACCTGGGACAGTGGAGGTGTCCCTGCCATGGCAGGGGTGGAACCAGAGGAGCTTTAAGGTCCCTTTGAACCCCAACCCTGAATCCAGGGGTTCTCAAAGGCTCCCTGCCTTTGGAGCAGCCCTGCAGAGCTCTGCTCCCCATGGCCTGGGCTCAGGGTCAGTCCCATCCCTGCTCTGTCCTGCTGAAGGCAAGGCACACACGGCATCTGTCACAGACATCTTTTCATGAAAATCCTTTCCTCAGGATTTTTCCTCCTGAGAAGCTGGGAGGCCTCAGGAACAAAATGTAAACAATGGTTATCTGCTGCTGTGGGATGCAACAGGTGCATCTGGGATTGGTCTCATGTGGTTGTTTCTAATTAATGGCCAATCACAGTCAGCTGGCTTGGACAGAGAGCCTGAGCCACAAACCTTTGTTATCATTCCTTTGTATTCTTAGCTTAGCCAGCCTTCTGAGGAGAACCTTTTCTTCTATTTTTTAGTATAGTTTTAATGTAATATATATAATAAAATAATAAACCAGCCTTCTGAACCATGGAGTCAGACCCTCATGTCCTCCCCAATCCAGGAACCCCTGTGAGCACGGTCACAGGCATCCATGGCCACCAGGATTTCCCTCCAGGTTTCAGAGGTTCTGCCGGTTTTGTGTCACACTGGGGTCTCTGTGGGGCAGCTGTGGGCACAGACACCTCAGGCAGGTGAGAATCCCACCCAGCACATCCCTCACCCTGCCCTGACTCAGCCCAGGACGAGTAAAGAACAAACCACAACAATAACAGGGCAGGAGAAACCAGCAAGGGACAAAAGGAAAAAGGATCAGGAAACTCAAACTGCACCAAAGCTCTTTTGTTCCCAAATTAAACATGACTGTCAATCTGCTGTGGTTTACAAACACATTAGTTCACCACACTTCTTTCAGATTTAATAAAAAATCCACCAAACTCAACTGGAATGAGTAATAGTCAGTTTTGTTGCCTGATAATAGATTGATAGCCTTAAGCCTTCTCAAAGGAAATTCAATTTGAATAAGGATTAAACTTGACTTTTCAGTGAAGTATCCATCCACAAATACTTATTTCTCACATTCATTCTAAATTCTGGTTGTACTTTGTCTTCCAAAACATCACGGTTTGAAGCTAGGCACAGCTAAATCACAGAGTATCCATATTAATAAAGATGTTTAATGTAAGAGCATTGTTTTTCTCCCAACCATTCACGTCTCAGAAAGGTCCTTTATAGCACCACAGGTAAAGGAGATGTATCTGCGAGGAGTGTCACAATTATTGAAGCAAAAATAAACACTATTTTTTTCTTTTGATATTTTAGGTGAGGCTTTTAAGGTCAGGTAATTAACTCACGGTTTTCCTGTATCCTTCTGCTGCTTCTCCTGTCTCTCTGTCAAAATAGTTTCATTAAAACACTCACAAATTATCATTTTAATGAGTTTCTGACAAGTTAATGTACTCCTTGTAGAGGTGCAGGGTTTGGGTTTGATTCAGTCCCTGATACATTTGTTGTTTACAGGGCAGGAAAACCACCAGGGGCAATGAGTGGTGCTAAACCAGAATTAAATACACTGAAATCACATTTTTGGCCCTCTAACCATCTTTCCACTCAATATTTAAAATACAAGTCATTGAGCTGAGCTCAGACACTTTTATCCCAGATTTCACAAGAGAAAATCATTGCAACTGTGAGTGACACTTGGCCATGAGCAGGACGAGCTCCAGATCCTCCTGAACAGCCACTACAGGTCCAAACAATCTGATGAGGTTTTAAAGAGCCCTCACTGGAGCCAGCTGAGGCTGGAAGGAGATTATCTAATTAATTTATGAGGTTCAGTTCTTTCTGTGTTATCTGCCTAGAGTATCTTCTTCTAAGTTGTCCTAAAACCCAGCAAAACAGGGAATAAACATAGAAAAAAAAATCTGCTTTTCATGTGAGGCAGTAAGGAGAGGAAGACAGAAAAAAATGTGGGTTTGCTTCTCTTGTGTATGAGAAGGAACAGGGGTAGAGTTGCTTTAGACACTCATTCCAAAATATTTTCCACAAATGAGCTAATTTTGAAATCACCTATAATTGAACACACAGATAATTTTAGCTTTGTGCATGAAGCATGGTATTGCAGAAACTGCAAAAAGAGGAAATGGCATGTGATATATTTGTTGAATTTAGAAACGGCAAACTAAGAGGAAAAGTATATTTTTCTCCAAAAAAAGATTCTGGCAGTTAGTGCAAACAGTCGTGTCCTAAGCAGGGTAATGAGCAGTAATGCTGCTCTAAACATTACCCTGCACACAAGAAACAAACAGAAAGCAACGAAAAATAGAGCATGGCTGAGGCATTCTTCCTTGAGCCCACTCCATTCAAGGTGATGACTAATTAGGAAAACCTCCAAAACTGAGTTTTCCCTTCTTTAAGTGCACCAGTGAAGATAACATAAATATAACTCAGCCCTATCAACTGATTCTGCTTCCTGAAAATAAACTTTTAAGCATATGGCCAGGAAAGCCAATGTATAGGAAGAACAATTCTTGAACAGCATGACAACAGTCTGGAATTACATGCTAGGGCTCACACAAGTGGGTTTGCACAGCCATAATTTCATCAAATGCATTTCAGAGCTTGACAGTCAATCCCACAGAAACACAAGGAGCATTTCCAGGAAATGTTTGCATTGTTCCCCTCAGCTTTTGAGCAGTTCATTTCTAGTGAGGGAATTTCTCTTTGCAAGTGGGGCAGATTTCTTTGTTAAGTAAAATGAGATGGAAATCAAAAGCTCAAATTGCACCAGGAAACACCACAGGGATCTGTGCACAAAATGCTCCAGTGATTGTGGCCTGTAACTTATTGCCCAAAGTTCCTTTTCATTTTTCTGATGTTCTCATTTATCAACCAGGCTCCTGATAGTTGTTAAAACTCCTGCTAACAAAAGTGGAACAACAGCACCCCCTCCAAGAGAAAGTGATTCTTTCTTCAGATTTCCTCGAAAAGAGCTTTATTGAGTGTATTTGATGCCTACAGAAGCCTTGCTCCCACTAGAAGGGAACTTAAACAAGATTGGATATCCTGCCAATATTTTGGATGACTAGGTGTTCAGTCACTTGTGATACAAATGATCTGAAGCTGGAGGATCATAAAATCAGGAATGTAAAAACTGATTTGTGCTCAAAGGTATTCCCAAAAAAGGAAGATAAAGTGCAGGTGATGTCATTGCGAAATTTCCCCTGTAGGAACAAATGTAAATGTTCTATGTGCTACAGAAACCCTGAATTACAAAAGGAGAATATTGTTGTTTAGAAAATCTTTGCCAGAATTGCAGAAAAGATATCAGCACTTCAACACTGCTAGGCTTCTTTGCTCATAAACCATTACAATAAATTACAAATGTCCACTAGCATTCAACAAAATGTGTAAAGGTCAAAATCATTTGTCACAAAATCCTCCTCACCATCACCACCTGCTTTTTAAAGGAAACAATAAGAAAAAAGCCCAGAATTTGCATAAGGAAGCACTTGAAACATCCTTGTTTGGTTTTCATATTTCAAATGAAATTCATTTTCATTTTCAGATTTCAGTGAAGATTTGGTTTATGATCAGGTTGAGTCACACACTTGGAATTTCTTAATTCAGTCTTATTGTACAGCTCCTTTATCCAGATTTTGCACAGAGCTGATATCTGGCAGTGAATTTCACCTGCCTTTTCCTTCCAAACAGAGCACAAACAAAGCTGGCATGACTGGGGAAGTTTTGGCTGCCTCTGCACAAATCCATATTTGTTGTGGGAAGAATGCAGAGTGTATTTCAATACCACACCTGCTTGTTTAACTGCATCTTCTGGAAACTGTGCAGAAAAAAACCCAGAAAATAGGAATAAATCCTCAGAGAAGTCTGACTGCTCACCGTCCCTTGCTGTTCTTTTGGTTTGGCTCCTGAGCCTGCAGCTGGCTGTGTGCTTAAGGATCTTAAAGGTCCTTTCCAACCTAGTTCATTCTGTGATGCTGTGATGCTGTGATTCTGAGATTCTGTGATTTTGTGATTCTGAGATTCTGTGATTTTGTGATGCTCTGATTTTTTGATTTTGTGATTCTGTGATTTATTGATTCTGTGATTTTGTGATGCTGTAATTTTGTGGTTTTGTGATTCTGTGATTTTTTGATTTTGTCGTTCTGTGATTTTGTGATTCTGAGATTTTGGGATTTCGTGATTCTGTGATGCTGTGATTTTTTGATTTTGTGATTCTGTGATGCTACCACAATCTCCTGGTGGAGCTGCTCCTGTCTGCAATTAGGCTCAAACTGCTTCTTTCCATGAGCTACGTGCTATTTCTAATCTCTATATTAAATATTATCTGATTTCCTATTGTACCTACCACACTTATTAGCACAGCCATTTATAGTTAGCAACATAAATTATGTTTTTTGTGCTAAGACTGTGAGAAACATGGAAGTGTTCACTGCAGCTGCTGGGCCTTGCACGCCCTCCCAGCATTCTGATTTACTGTGTAATTTTCCTCAGAGGATCCCTTAGCATGAGAGTAAGCAATTTTGCTCCATACCTATGTCATGTTTTGTTGAATCCACATCAAGATGCCAATGCCCTGCAGCACCTGGAAATGTGCACTGATCTTCTGCAACACCAGTCTGAGCTCCTCAAGACTGAAATTGATTTTTCTCAAAGTGGCATGTGAAGGCACAAAGTGCATCCAGTGATCCATGGCCCAAATGAGTGCAACAACACCAGTCCCAGCCGCTGAAGGAGCAGTAACTTTTTAAGTCTTTGCAAGCAACAGTGCAAGAAAAAACAGAGTGTAGTGAGGAATTTATCTTGTAAAATGCCAGGCAGTCAAGTTGTTTTACTGCTGCTGCAGGCTATTGTCAGTGCTGCTAAGTAAATGGTAGGAATGGTTTTCTTTAATTGGAAAGAGCTGGGATGCCATGGTGATGTGCTTTTTATAGCACCCCTACACAAACAGATAAACCAGCATTTCCAAACTCAGATTTTATCAGATCTGAACCCAGTTCTGTGGTGGGAAAGGCTCAGGCGGGCTCTCACCTGCAGTGGCCCTCACCTGACAGCTAAGACAAAATTAAGAAGCTTAAAAATATTATTTAAAATAATATTTTTATTATTTTAAATTTAAATTATTTTTATTTTAAATTTAAAATTATTTAAAAATATTTTTATTAATTTAAAATATTATTTTAAATTATATTTTAAATTATTATTTAAGAAGCTTAATAATATTATTTATTATACATCTGTGACTTGTTCTGGACTTTCACAGTTTCCCTGAAGAGTGTATGGACTCTTCAGTAAGTAAGAAACTTTTTACTGCTGCAATGCCCTGAAATAAACACCTGAATATTAAACCAATTAATGTTTCTACCTGCACTGGTTCCTGCAGAGTCCAGGGCTTTAAAAAGCCTGTTTGCTTCTCATTAAATGTGTGTAACTGTAGGAGAGTTTGCACAAGCCCAAGGAGAGGCAGCACCTCAGTGAATAAAAGAGTTTTGACATTGCAACACCTGAGATAACAGATCTTTGCAGCTACAAGGGAAAAGTGACCTTTGCAATTTTAGTTCCCATTTTCCTCTCATGGAATGTGATATTTCTGTCTTTTTTCTCCTACTTGCAAAGAGGGATTGTAAAAAGTTAGGGCTTGACTTTCTGGAATAGCTCTTAGAAGGCCGTTCAAGGTGAGCAGGTGCAGATGCTTGGCTTTTTTAAAATTCAAATGTAAACAAGGAGGGATGTGTGAGGTCTGGCCGGTCCTGGGTGCAATTCCAGCTCTGGGGAAAGGACCTGGGGTGCTGTGCTCAGGGATAAACCCGAGCCAGGCCAGAGGAACAACCATCCCATCTCACAACTCTTCAATGTGTTTTGTTCCCTTTGCATTCACCTGTGGCAGTGGCTGGGGCTCACTCAGGGTCTGTGCTCAGCATCAGAGGGAATTGTTCCTCACCTGCCCAAAGCTGGCTATAAAATCCTGAGAGTTAAGTGGAAAATTTGTGTGAAATCTGAGAAAATCAGTGTCGTTCTTACAGACAGGAGAGCTGCACAAACAGCCCAGCTTTGAAGGCTCAGGCTGCGTCAACACCGAGTTTGTGCTGTTCTGACAAAACTGTATGGAAATGGAAATGAGTGTTAGTAAATTACAAAGATGATTTCAGCTAAGATCTCATTTCTTTAAAACTTTAATGGCAGGTGTAGTTTTAAAGAACAGATGATGCTAATTCTATCTCTTGCTTGCAGTCACTTACCTTTTTAAACAGCTTCTGCTGATGGCAATTTCAGAGTGCCTGTTGGGGGAATGGCTCCAGGTTTGGGTGGGATTCCTGAGTCCTCCAAGCAGTTCCTGATCCTGTCACAGAAAGAGTAAATGAGGATTAGGGTCAGTAATTTGCCCATGCACTGGCTGTGATTAGGGCAACATTGAGTAGATTTCAGTTTAATATTCAGGGGGTTCCTGGGCATGGAGGGAGCTCTGTGCCATTCCCTGGGATGGGGAGCATGCCTGGAAAAGGACACGGCAAAAACACCCAGTGCACCCTCAGTGCAGAGATATTCACAGGCTGCTTCACTCTGACAAAAAGCAGAGCTGGGAACACAGTCCTTCTTTTAAATTATGGCTTGTTAGGCCTATTTCTTAATGTGATTAATGGCACATCAGTGCTCACAGCACGGGGCATTCATCAGCAGGGCCTGTGCCCTTAGCACAGGTGTGGAGGGAATTCCAGAACGTTGCAGCACCAAATTCTGCTGTGTCCACGAGGGGCTGAAGTGACAAATCACCAAGGAACAGGAGCCATTACAGTCCTGAAACAGGAATTAATTCGTGTGTACTTAGTGAGAAGTGTTTTCCTCCGATGTTACAAGGATTCCATACACCTGTATGTGTAGGGCATGGGGCTGTGGAGGTAAATGTGAGCACAGGAAAAGCTAGAGAGTGAGAAATAATTCAGATTTAAACATTTCCCAGTGAAGAATGTCAGACAACAGGAAAATAATCTTCCCTGAAGATATAAACTAGCTTTGGTCAAGGTTTTCTCAATGGAAGGAACATGTTCTGAATCTTGAGTTAGCAATTTAGAGAGAGAGCTGACAGTCATGTAGAGAGCTCACCAAGGGCATATTCTAGATATAATAAAAAAATAATACAACTTACCTCTCAGCATCTCTGCAATTAGAGAATGAAAGATCAGTTCTCAAAATCAGTCACTAATTACACAAAACACCCAAAGAAATAAATAACTAAATAACTGTCCACAGAGAACATTACTGACAAAACTGAGAAGACCAGGTGAGCCAATGACCCTGAGGACAAAAGCCTCAAAATTCTGTGAGAAATGGAAAATAATCTGAAATACCAACAGAGGCAGGGAGTCTCAGTCCCTAAAATGTAAAGATGGCTGTGAAATTAGTTAATTAATTAGAAATAATGCAAGCAGATCTTATTTCTGTTTGTAACATCTGTGCATGAATCTCAGAGCATTTTTGATCAAATATCATACTCTCACATTTGTGTCTTGTTTTACCAGGAGTCATGAGTGGCTCTTGTTTCCTGCCTAGTTCTGTTCGGTTTTTTATCTTCCTTTTCTTCCCCAACCTTGATTGTCTGCCTTGCTCTGTTATTTCATCTTCTCTTTCATGTATACTGTAAATTCTCTGGAGCACTTGTTTCTTTGTTATAGGTCTGCAGAGAGCCCTGAATAACCCAGCCATGATCTAAACATGACAGGATCTGAGTGATAGCATACAAATAAATGAATAAAATGTGTTTATTGCACTTCTCTAATAGAAAGAGATCATTAATGCATAATAAACACTGATTTTATTAATTTAGAAAAAAAACAATAAAGGGAAAATCTTGTTTGTAAGCAAGTCTTGGAAAAATTATTTCTATGCAATCTGTTGTAGCTCTCCTCAAAAAAACTTCCTGGTTCTGCCTTCAAAAGCAGAGATATTCTGAAAGAATGAAATATTAGGAAAAAAAAAGAAAAAGAAAAAGAGAAGAAGAAACTAATAATCAGTGCTGTCTATCAAAGAACCTGTGAATTATGCAGTGCTCCAGTGCCCTGACCACAGTGGGAGATTGAAGATTGACTCTCTGGAATTGAAATTAAAGAGGAGTTGCAATATCTGACATAAACCCCATTTTTCACGGCTCCAGCTCCTTCAGAACTGGCCATTACTAAATGGACATTGGCATCAGAATGCAGAGATTTTGTAAAACCTGCTGGGCCAATCAGGGCCAAGCTGTGTAAGACTCTGAAGAGAGTCACAAGTTTTCCATTATTATCTTTTTAGCTTTCTGTAAGTATCCTTGCTGTATTCTTTAGTATAGTATTATTTAATATAATATAGATTATAAAATAACAAATTATCCTTCTGAGAACATGGAGTCAGATTCATCATTCCTCCCCTCCATGGGGTCTCAGAAAATCCCACACCTGCCCACCTGGGTTTGGCCCCATTTAGGAACACTTTGGCTTCCTGCACTCCCAATCCCAGGAAAAGAAAACCCAGAAACAACCTGGAATTTGTAAAAAATTAAATAAAATAAAAAAGCAGGCAGCAAAGGAAGACTCTGAAGTGCAAGTGCGGGGCAGCCGTGTCTCTGGGGGCTCTGGGAGTGGGGACCCTGCCCCGCTGCCATTGCAGGCCCCTGCACAGCCCAGCCCAGCCAGGATCCTGAATGGATTGTGGGGGTGACCTTGGCTGCTGCTGGAGGAGAAGGTTTGAGAGTGGCTGATGCTCTGCCAAAACAGCGCTGGAAGAGCTCTCAGATGTGACATT